TACAATATAAAATATAATTTTGATGCATCATTTAGATGGCATGTCTAGATTGTACTCCATTGTTAATTGGCTGACTAATTATCTTCCACCACTCTATAGGGTGCCGTCAATTTCTTAACAGAGATTGATGCTTGCAATTTTTACTTTCAAAAAGCTCAACTCGGCTCATCTTTGGCACATTGCTTTATTCATCATCTAAGCAACGAGTCATCGACAAATACCATTATATCATCATATTTTTATTTGAATTCAAGTGAATGAGATGGTTGAGAAAAATATGGCCAACAGTCCGTACCATAAAATGGAGACAAAACTCTTAGTTCTTTCACCTGTGATGTGGATTGTTATTGTTGTCAATGCCACGTAGACCTACGAAAGTTTCATTTTAAAACTTTTATTGTATATTATTTCATGTTTAGGGTGAGATGGATGGAGAATGGCTCTCTCTGTTTTGTTTTTTCTTTCGCTTCTTTGTATAGTCGTCAGCTTGAGGATTACAATCTTTTATGAGGTTTTTAGTATGAAATTTTCTTGTGAATGTTATTCATAGATTTTTATAATAATTTAAGCATTTTTGAATATTTTAAAAATATGTCTATAGGGATGATTGGATGACCTTATAGCATACTTAAAATTCTAATTTAAACTTGTGCATTTCGTCCATCAAAATACTTCAATGCATCAAAAACATCATCAAGAACCTATTTATTTAATTTTTTTTCATTTGAAATTTTCTGAACTTAAAAGTCACAATGATCTATTAGTACTAAGTCAATTTATGATAATTATCTTTTAGTACAATAGGAGTCTACCAATAAAGATGATTTTGACACATCAAGTTGAGATCAAATAATCTTAAAAATTTTTGAAATACATTTTTAAATTTATGTATGCCATAATTTTGACTACTTAAATAAAATTTGTCGATCTGATGATGTCCTTGTGGATATTATTAGAGAAAGATATTAGGATAAACTTGAATTATGGAGGTCTAAATTAGATTCTAAAGGCCTTTTATCTGAGTTAAACTAAAATGGAATACATGGAATGTAATTTTAAGGTGCCTTTGGGGAAGCATTTTGGGTGTTTTTCATTATGAAAAGTTATTGTTGGGCAATTGGGAGCCAGCTTTTCTTTTGTTTTTATCATAATCCCGTTTTCGGAATGCTCAATTTATAAATCACATTCCATGGCTCCGTTATGTGGTTCTAATCGCTATTTGGATTCAAAATGACTAAGGGTCCGTTTGAGGCAACTTATAAGTGTGGGCGGCGTTTTCAAAACACTGTCGGCAACTTATAAGTGTGGGCGGCGTTTTCAAAACGCTGTTGTACCATTTGGTTTGTGCGTTTCGCTAGTTTATCTGAAACTGCGTTTGAGTTTTTACACTAAACGCAGACCGCGGGTCCACCCTTGTGGCCAGCCCACGGGCCACGTTTCAGGATAAGCAGCTTATCATGAAACGCACAAGCTGCCCCAAACGGACCCTAACTATCCCGCATCTCATCAATTCGACAAATGTCTTGTTTTATCCCCGATAATACCCCCTTCTTCTCACTCCATTCGACTTCGTTGTGGGTGCTAGGTGAAAAGCAGGATTCATAATATATTATGATTTGTTGGATGCATTACATAATAATTACATTTTGCATGGATTGTCTCAATTTACATCCAGGGAAACACTAGTCTTTATATTATATATTATGTCAGACAACAAGTCCATTCGTGCAGCTTCTTAGCAATTACATCATTCAACAAAAACAGTTAACAAATATTTCAATATTGAGATTTAAATCTTTGGTTAGATTGTCAAACAATATTGTGAAACTCATAGATCCTACTTTTGTGCATGCACTAATAGAGAGAACGATATGTGATACATGTCATTCTTCAAGATATTGATACTTCTATTTATTTTGCATGTATGTCTTACAACAAAAAAGTTGTGCTAATGAATTTTTTAAATAGAATTGTATAGGATCAATTAATGCCACAAATGTCAACGCACGTGTTGACAATGATGACAAGATTGTATATATTGAAATATGTGGATCTGCTACACAAAATATTTTAGCAGTTTGTGATTTCAACGTGTCTTGCCATCTTAATGACTAGATGAGAAGACAAAATATCTTAGCAGTTTATGACTTCAACGTGTCTTGCCTTCTTAGTGACTAGATGAGAAGAGAGTGCTCATAATAGTCCCATATTCAAATTTATAACTCGAGGACGTGAATACAGTTAGTATATTCATGATTGTATATGAAGCATTTAATTTGAGGGTGTGTAGTAATAATGTTATTATTCAGGAAAATTTACCTCGTCGATTCAGGTATCCCTTACAATTAGGTTTCTTAAAGTCCTTTTTGGATATGAGGCACAACCTTCATTATTTTGAGCACAACCAAGTGATTGGAGGGATGAATAAATTGTTCAACTAAAGACTCTCATCACTTCGAATTGTTATTGAGAGAGCATTCAGCGTATGAAAGAAGTGGGTCAATTCTGAGTATGCCAACATAATCCTTAAAAAGTAAAGATTATTGTTGCGACGACAACTTTACATAATTTTATACGGATCCATCCATCTCGGGACGATGTTGATTCAAGGTTTTAGATGAAGATCCAACATGCATATCTGTGGAAGTATTCAAACATTGGGCAGGACAATCATTTTCCTGAGGAAGGCTTTGGTGCAAATCATTTCAACACATCTGAAGGAGAGGGTGCTCAGGAGATGATCCAGTTAAAAGAAGAGATTACAGATATTTTAGTGATCTTATAGATTATATTTTTGTGCATTTTGTAGTGTATCCTGGTTGATGTTTACTATTTCAGATGTATTGGGGATTTTTCGATGTTTATTTTCTATATTTATATAACATTTTGTATTGAGAATTTTTTTGATGTCTAATTTTAGAGATGCAAATATTTATTTTATTGTTCTATTTCATATCTTGCTTAATTTTCATTTAAATGCATAACATATTATAATCTCAAAAAAATGTTGAAATACCCGATGAAACTTGCAATGCTTTATGCCGCAGAGCGTTGGACTATAAAAAATCTATGACCGGGCCTGGGCTTGGAATTAATAAAGGCTGGGATAAACAGTCGGACGGTGGGAATTAAATTTTCGATATTAGTTCTCTATAAATAATATTTTACAAATGAAAGAATCACTAATCAATTTAAATTAAAGCAATACATTTAAAATTACATTTGTACTGGTTGTCCACATCTTCTATAAACATTTTTTCTTCTATCACTCATCTTTTAATTAATTAAATTATTCTGAATAGTTATTTTAAAACAACTGTGAGCTAAACGAGCCGGTGAATACTCATACTCATAAACTACAATAATACAAGTGAAAAAGAAGCAATATGCATGTCAGTCAAACTTTTAGTAAATCAATAAAAATATTTAATGATATTCGAAGAACCTTACTATATTAATAACATATCATTATCATTCTATATTTTTATAACCGTCATATTAACATCATTTAAAAGTTGTCAATTAAGACACATCAATATCAATATTCTTTTTCATATACGTGCACGATTACCTTAGTGTTTCCTTATTAGTATTATCAAGGGGTTATTCCATCATAGTCAGTCATGCATATACAAACAATCAACATAAATATATCATTCATATGCTCGTCACATTAAAATCAATATATTATATATAACATACACCAATGCATAATATTAATAGCTACAAATATTCCTAATAATGTGATCAATAAAAAAAAATATATAAATCAAATAAAATTTGTGCAAATATCATCTTTTACTAATGCATAAACATCGAGAAGAACTAAAATATTACTATAGATTTAAAAGTATGAGTACTCGCCTCGATATCGATTAATTTGTGCTTGAATTTGCCTTGATGTCGATTCCTTTAAATTACATACCTAACATAAAGATGATATTTAATTAATTTATTATCTTAATAAACTATTACCTTTTCATTAAATAAGTATTAAATTTACTTTATCTAATCTGACTTACTTTCTATTTGATAAGTAAATAAAATGATTATTATTATTACTATTTAATATTATATAAACCTTACCCCGGTCGATCCTATACCGTGTGAAGGCTTCTACTTCCTCCCCTCTGCGAGAATCTGATCGCATCAACTGGCTTTGTTTCTCTCCCTCGTGACCTTCCTTTCCTGCTTGACAGTGCACGAGCTCAACTATTCTTCGTACTCTACAATGCTTCTTCCTCTACTCTTCTTCTTTGTTGGTTGGTCGAAGCCCTTACCTGCAAACACACAACTTCCTCTACGCTCAGCTCTGTCCTGCTCAAAGAGTCAATGACACCCTTTCCACTGCTCGACCTCGATGCTAATACTTCTTCAAGCTCCTCATCGCCATCTAGGGTCTCTCTCGCACTGTCATTCTCTCCTCATTTTGCTCGACTCTTAGGTAAGTCGCTAGGATTTGTTCTACCTCCTTTTTTCCCTGTCTTTCTTTAATTTATAGCGAACTGACCTCTTTGGCTTCCCGATTCTTTTATTTCATCTCTCTCATTTCTTCAACTACGCGACTCCTCGCTTGCATTTTTTGGTTTCTTCATTTTCCCTTCCCCCTAGTAGCAGAACCATTACAAAATAGAACCATAAAACTAAGATAAGTGTTGCTGAGATGAGAATGCTCAGGTGGATGAATGACTTGGCTCTCAGAGATAAAATGAGAAAAAAATGTATCCGTGAAAGGGTTGGTGTGGCTCTAATGATAGATAAAATTAGAGAGAATTGTCTTAAGATGGTTTGGTCACATTAAACGGCGACCATTTGATTATCTTGTTAGGAGATTAGATGCTTTAGATTGAACTTATGTTAAGGAAAGGTAGAGTTAGACTTATATAAAAAATGATCTTAATTTATTAGATTTAAATGAAAAATATGACACTCAATAGGACACAATGAGAAACTCCTCTTAGTGGAATAACGGCTTTTTTGTTGTTGTTGTTGATCTTTAGCTGAAGATCGTAACATTGAAATCTAAATGGGAGGAGAATAATTCTGTGTGCTTGAGTGTTGAAGAATTGAGCCCTTTGTTCTCAAAGATGTGAAGGTGAATTCTCTATTGTTCAAATTTAAACTAAAATCGTCGGTGCTATTTTGTTAGCTGTTTCCAAATACAGTTTTTTATTAACATTTTGGATCAATCTATTTACAGGCTCAGTTCTTGACAGATTGTATTGCTGCAGGCACTGAGGATATTGTGGGATGGTTTCTCCTTCTCTCACCCTGAAAGTGACATTTTCTTCACTTTTGGCTTGTTCAGAACTATTGAGAGATGGTCATCAGCGGGATTAGGTTCAAAGAAATTTGTAAATTACTTGGTGCATCCATCTATCGATAGGTATGCATTTTTTTTCCCAAGTGAAAAAAAAAAATCATGTCTACAATTCCTTGGTCCATTTTAAATGTCTGTACATGTAAAGTTGTATAATAGAAGTTAAATCTTATCATGAGTATTTTCTAGCAGATTTTGGTGATTTTACGGAATTTTATGAATTTTTTTTTCCCATCAAATTTTCTTTCTTCATCTGGCTATATCTTATTGTGTGGTTTGCTGTCAATCCCTGCCTTGTTTTCTTGTCGTTTGGTATTCATACAGGTAACAGCTTTGTGGAGCAGTTGGCTTTAAAAGCCTCTCAACCTTTGGCAATGCAGGTATCTTGATGTATTTGGTTGCCCAGAATGACTTGAATATTTTTGTTCAGTATAGAATTCCTGTAATTCTCTAGTAAACTTAAAAAATTTGTCATAAATGAATTCCAAACTCTGTTGAGAATAATTTTCTGGTTATTCTTATGCATTGTAGTTAATATATCATTCTCATTTGTATAATTTGAGTGCTGGTAATGTCTTGAGTATTGGTTCATTCTTATGATTTTAGTAATGGTCGTGTGATGTGGATAACCCATGCCTGTTGTCTTTTGAGTATTTGCAGACAATGGTAAACTATCTCGACCTCCATTACTTGCTGCTTTATTTGATAGAAGATGGAGGAAAGGAGTTTTGTTTTTGGAATGTATAGATCTGGTAGAATATAAAGTTAATTAATTTATTTTAAATATATTTTTATGATTAAATATTACTTGAAGTAGCAGGTTTTTAATAAATATTTTAGAATTTGACCCTCTAAGCGAGTGCTTCGGGTGTGTGCAAGTCGGTTATGTATTGGTTGGTGTTTGGAGCTTGAGTTCTTAGAATTGGGGGAGTAATTTTCAGAGCTTGGGTCTTTTGAATTATGTGAGTGTCACTTGAGTTGGGCTATTTTGAATTAGCGAGTTTCTTTATGCACGTGCCTTTTGAATTGGGCAAGTGGCCTCGAGTGCCTTGGATTTTTAGTTCTTGGTGAATTCACTTCTTTTTCATGCTTTTAAAATTTGCAGCGGTAGAGTAATGAACTATTGTCTTTACATTGTAAGAGAATTCAACACACACTTAGGTGAAATAAAACAACTAGTAATGACACCAAAAATTTTTACGTGAAAAAACCCCAAGTTGTAAGAATACACTATAGGTTGATGATTACAAAGAACTCTTGTCCCACAGACGAGAAATGTTTATTGTCTGACAGCTTCCGGTCAGTGGTGATCGATGGTGATTAGTAGTGATTAATGATGGTCAACAACGGTCGACAACTAGTAATGACACCAAAAATTTTTACGTGAAAAAACCCCAAGTTGTAAGAATACACTATAGGTTGATGATTACAAAGAACTCTTGTCCCACAGACGAGAAATGTTTATTGACTGACAGCTTCCGGTCAGTGGTGATCAATGGTGATTAGTAGTGATTAATGACGGCCAACAACGGTCGATGACGATCAATAGTAGTTGACAGTGACAGTAGTGTTTGACAATGATCGATGGTTGTAGATGACATTCGATAGTGGTCGATGACGATCAGCGGGTGTTGATGATAGTTGACGGTAGTCGATGATGGTTGGCGGTGGTCGACGGTGACCGACAATCGGTGGTTATACATAGTAGTTAGCAGTGGTCAACGATGATCGACGGGTATTTACAGTCAACCGCGATCGTCGAATGTTGACGACAGTTGGTGGTGGTTGAAGATGGACGGTGGTCGTCGGTGGTCGACGTTGGTAGACAACAATTGATGGGCGCCTATGATAGTTGACGTCGGTCGACGGTTGTCATCAGCGGTTGACCCGGTTGACGACGGTCGGCAATGGTGGACAGTGGTTAGCCGTGTCGGCGGTAGGTGATGATGATATTTGGATGTCGACGACAATTTTTCGGTGGTTGATAACGATCGACGGTGGTCGATGGTGGCTGACGACGTGCAATGAAGACAGGGATGGTGCTGTACTTCAGTTTCTTCTCAAAGCTTCGAGTTCTCTATCAAGCTGTAAGCCTCCTCCCTCATGAGAGGGGTGAGACTTTATTTATAGCGTTTTGGGTGTAATTAATGCAAGAATATAAACAACTTTGATCGGACGGTTCTGAGAGCTTCCTTCGATCAGATGGTGTTTCATGGACATTTGAGTGCCTTAACAATGTCGGAATTGAGCTATCTTGGGCTCGTTGGATTCATCCGGCATGAATCTCGAGGCAATGAGATGAACCTTGAGGTAATTTTTAGAATAAGAAACATTCAGACTTCAATTAAGAGTCATTTAGAACTCCGATTTCAACAAACGTATGGTCAAATTGACCGGCTCGATGAGGCGGGCCTAACGAAATAAAAACAAATCCAATTTGAGTCAAATCAAACCCATATCAAGTCATAAAATCATTCTTGAAAAATTTTCGGATACATTTGAAAGGACAAACGGATGTCGAATATGACAAGTTCATGGTCGAATCTAGCGTCTTGGGCTGTTGCAAGAGATGAAGAGCAGATGTCAACCAGTTATGTTGTTGGCTCAGTGGCTCTAAATCAAGTACTTCTATTTCATGAAGAAGAAGTAAAAGCAATCATATAATATCATCATTTAAGTGTCTGTTCTTACTTTTATGTGGGATTAATGAGTATCTTAGACCCTTTGTTGGAGCGTGTCGATCGGCAGTGAGTCACTTAACATGTAAGATTGGTTAGTTTACATTAGGGATGTTTATGTTGGCCATTTTGAATGGGTCTATGATAGGGAGCTTTTAGATTATCAATCAGTAGAGTTAAAAGGTCATAGGTATTGCCAATTCGGCATTTGGACTTCTATCATTAGGTAAAAGTTTTATGGTGATAATTTGTTGAAGTTCTGCTTGAAGGTTTTTTAAGTAGATAGGTTGTGTTTCCTGCCTTTTCAATGAATACAGAACAGGTTGCTTCGACGAGATAGGTTGAAGATAACGAGTGAGTTGGTTGCTAAAATTATCGAAGAGAACCCCGTCCCTAATTATTTTCTTTTAAGAACACATTTTGGGGACATGTAATGTTATGCCCCCAATGACTCTTGAAAGCTGTGGTTCGATGTCATTTTGTCACGATCCGATTCAGAGTTTGGTATTAATCAAGATGGGTATAGACGGTCAGACTGGAGCAATTAAATTTCTACAACTAACATTTTAATAAATGAAAAAGTCATTATATAAAAATTAAAGTAGTACAGTTTAATTTATCATATTTTTTTGTTGTTCACATTTTCTATAAATATTTTCTTTTATTCATCATTTTTTAATCGATTAATTAAACTTAAAAAAAGTTAGTTTAAAACAACATTGAATTAACTATAGCAATGAATACTCACAGTTATAAGCTACAGTAACACAACGAAAAAGAAAAGAATATGCATGCTAGTTAAGCTTGTAATCATCACAAAAGCATTTGATAATTTAATAATCACAATATTTTATAACATTAAATGTGTTTTACAATATCAATAACATATATTTATATATATCATTTTATATATGTGCAACCGTCGCAGAAGTTCCATCTAAAAATTATATCAATTAATATACTCTAATATCAATATTCGTATTTTTATTTACGTGCGCGGATATCTTAACATTTTTCTGTTAGTATCATAAATCGGTGAACTCTATCATAACAAAACATGCACATACAATTATACTAAACAAACACTATCTAATAATGATTCTTTCATTCTCATTTATTTATAAGCCAATATACTTTTACAAGAATCAATATCTATGATAATTTAAGTAAACATGAGTATCCATGTCAATCCTACAATATGAATAAAATTCAATAAAACTCTAAATCATGAGTATGTAGTGTTATAAATATAATAGTAATAGTAAATGTATTTGATCGAGATGAAACAAAATATTACTACAACATAGGAATGTAAGTGTTCACTTCGGTGTTCTCCACTTTATTACCCTTAAATTTAACTCCTTCACTTGAAATACCTAATATAAGAATTATTTGTGTTAATAAATTTTATTATGGTTAAATAATCTATAGATATACTTAAATTAATTATTATTAAATTATAATTACATATATTGAATCTTAATTTGATTCATTGTTTCGCTATTTATTGTTAATATAAAAATTAATGATGTACTAACTACCATCATTTTTAGATTTATTTTAAACCTTAATCAAATTGTCAAATCATTAAAAATTATCTATTAATATTTTATTTTTCTCTCATTGATCCATAACTTTATATTTTCTTCATCAATGCTTACTAATTTTAATTAGCATAAAAATAATAATCCTAACATAATTACTATAAAGATAAAATAAAAAACAAACCCTAACATATCCTTCGCTTATTCTTCTTATGCTCGGAACCGTACACAAAATGTTCGCAGAACTTGGTTTACGATTCAATCTTCTCATTATAAGAAAAAATATTAGGTCAGGAGTCCTAATACTTCAGAACTTCAATGGTAGAGCGACACGTGTCAAATGACCCCCGAAAAAATATGTTACGGTACCATCATTTAACACGTAGCGCCTCAAAATTAGAGCCCAAATACATCCTAATATTTCTTCCACAAGTAAAGGTTTTCTTTTCCTCCTTTCTTCCTTCGTGCACGAGACCATAATCACTGCTCGATTTCGACATTCCTACGTCATCGCCGCCCTCGCCTGATTGATGCTAATACTTCAGCAAGCTTCGTCATCCTCGTCAAGCATCTCGTCTCCTCTGCTCGAAGTCGACAACCTGCCTAAATTTTGATAGATGCAAGAGGAAACCCTAGCTTGTGCTTATTGGTCTCCTTGCTTTGTACATGTCAATCAGCCCTTGATTTGTCGTTTTGGTCGGCGTCTGCCACGAAGCCTCTCGATCTCACCTCTGCCTCCATCATACGCGTCAATTTATAGAACAAAATCGCCCGTCTGTCTCCCTGAACGATCACTTCATCTCCCTCGCTTCGCCTCTCTCATTTTCCCTTTGAACGAGGCGTTATACATCTCAGGCATCAGAGAGTGGTGATTAAGATTGTTTATCTGCGATCCATCCTGGCTGGTACGCCTAAGTATGTGTGCATTCATTCTCGATGATTAACTCACTTGTAACTACTGCTATTGTAGTATACCGGTACACC